CTGCTAGGTTAGTTGTCTGATTGTGCTAGGTTAGTTGTCTGATTGTGCAAGGTTAGTGTCCGCATTTTAAGAGCTGGCCTCATTTTAAGAGTTGGCCTCATTTGATCCGCCATATATATAAGTGTATGGCCCCAAAAAATCTTACCCAGGCTAAAGTCCAGGTGAAGTTAAACATAGCTCCGCCCATGGTTGGTGGACAAGCATGGGATAAGAAAGTGGTCTTCCATTGCTAAAATGCTTCCAAGAAGAATTGGGAAGCAATGTAGGGAAAGATGGCACAACCATTTAAAGCCCAATATTAAGGTTTTCCCTTTAAACTCATTTATATGTGTGTTGTGTGTGATTATCTTCATTTTAAGTCAATTTTGAATACCATTTTTACTTACTAAATTTCATCATATTATTAAATATACATAGATGTGCTTTCTATTATTGAAATATTTGTTAGAATTGCATTGATTTGCTCTCATGTGTAAAAAGCTTTAGTTGACTAGGATTTTTCTTGTGTTTATTAGTCAAAGAAAGTATAAAATACATCACTTGCACATACACACGTGTTTTACATTGTACATCTACGTTGTTTCTTATAGTAAGATAAGATCTATATAAGGGGAGATATTACGATCATGTTACGGAACTATTTCATCAAAATTGTAACCGTTAGATCAACTATTTCCGACGGTTACATGATGATCTTACGGTTACAAACCCGACGAAATGGTTCCGTAACGCGACGGTAACATTTCCCATACATAAGTTGCCCAAATTATTAAGTCTCTAGAAAACATATTACGCCTTATAATGTGATCAATATTTCTTAGATTTATAGTTTACTATACCTATATATCGTTTAGAAAAGAAATTAATTTACTTTTTTCAAGTAAATTGTAACTTTTTTTTTTCTTTTTCGAAACTTATGTAATAAAACCAAAAAAACACATAATTACAACTAGACTTCAACTAATAATAGCCAAACAACCAAAACAACTGAATCTACCAAGAGAATTACTCAGAGGTAGGTCTGAAAAATGTACTAGAGATATTAATTTGAAGTAATATTACATTTTTCCGAGTCAATTACTCATTCATAACTATTCATAAATTATATAATAATAACACGTGTCCTCAAAAATATGTACAGTACGTTAATATATAGTTCCATAAAGCAGCCAAAAATTTTATGCATAATCTTTTAAGTCGATCCATTTTGTAGAAAGATCGATGGTCCGAGGAAGAAGAAAAGATCCTAATCGAGGCCCACCGACAACTAGGCAACAAGTGGGCCGAGATAGCGCGAAGCCTGCCCAATAGAAGTGAGAACACGATCAAGAACCACTGGAACGCGACAAAGAGAAGGCAACTCTCGGCCCACAAGAACAAGAACAGCTCAAAGCGCAATAATAATATCAGTCCAATTCAGAATTACATCAAGAGCTTGATAAATTCTCCCCAAAAAAGCGGCAAGGGCAATTCGGTCAATTCATCATCCGGGGAGATGGTAATTGATATTGTTAATGGAGTAGAAGAA